TGCTAAAAGCACGTATCTGAGGTTATCGGTGCTATGAAATTGTTGGTTGAAGTGTGCAGCAACATGAATTTGTTGTTGTCCCTGTTCCGTTCCAGTTTCTCCAACATAATTTCCTTTTTAGCATTTACGCCAGAAAAGTAAATATATAAGATTTGAACTGGCACAATTCGGAGACAGTGGTTTGAATACGACGTGAGTGCCAGTGGGTGTGAAACTGCTTTCAGTGATAATATGCCTACAGACATGGAAGCAGGGTTTATTGTCCCTTTTTGAGGTGGTGAATCATGTATACCGGAATATGTAAAGAGTGTGTTTAGACTGGGATGACGGGTGGTTGACGCCTAGAAAGAAGTGGGTATATTTGTCGAACAGTTTGGTCGCGTTTAAATAATGGAAATAATTTCTAAAACATAGGGGAAGCTTGTGAATATTGTAATTAAATTAAAAAAAAAATTGGGAATTCTGGAATTATCTTTTTTGTTTCATAGGTTAGAAGAGTATTTCCGTTTTGTCTGGAAGCGTTAGTAATTAATTTTGAATAGATTTAACTTGTTAATTTCTATTAAGAATGTAACTGAATAGTTATCCTATGTGTTTTTGCAATCCATATTTTGTGATCAGATACGTTTTATGCGTAACTATTGGCTTTAGATTATTAATGTTTTTTTAGGTTGTTAGGGTGTCAGCTTTTGAAACTGAGGTAGAAATGACCATCTGCGTTTTAATTACACACACACACACACACACACACATATATATATATATATATATATATATATATATATCGAAAAAAATTTCGCCAATCCAAGGACATATTTATTATTCCACCATGCCTACCTCTATATAAACAGACGTGTATGTGTGGCTATACTTTGCTGAAGAGCGTCACACACACACACACACACACACACACACACACACACACACACACACACACATATATATATATATATATATATATATATATACATGTGTGTGTGTGTATGTGTGTGTATATATGTCTGTGCATAGAGCTGTGTGTATAATATATGGACTGTAATTGCATACAATGAACTCGACATGAAATCGAACTCCGATTTCACAATTCTACCACATATACATGACTCCACCGTGTCTAGCTCTATATATACATATGCGGGAATATGTGCCTATAATTTAACTGAAGAACATTTAACATCTGAATGTGTGTGTGTGTATATATATATATATATATATATATATATATATATATATATATATATATATATATATATATATATATATATATATATATATATATATATATATATATTCCGCTGCCTGGATATAAGGTTGTGACCCTGGCTTTCACGTTTTTGTCATCATCAGACAAACTCTTATTTTCTCTGAGTTTGTCTGATGATCGCAAAACTCATGAAACCCAGGGTTACAAACTCATCCATACAATTTGAATATGTTAGTTCTATCACTTTTATTCGTGGCTTTCTAGTAAGCACTGTGCATATAAAATAAATATATATATATATATATATATATATATATATATATATATATATATATATATATATATATATATATGGGGGTGCAATAAATTTATAATAAAGGAAATAGTAATTTAAAGGCGCATATCCGAGAAGAAACCCTTGGATCCTATTTTAAGCGAATAGATATTCTTATTCTAGTCAGTCCACTAAATCCGTACGCAAAACCTAGCACATTTTATCGAAGATAACAAAGTTGGTTTTCAGAATTTCTTTTAAATTAATTTCCTCTTCATTTCCTATAAGATAACGGAGAGTTGGTTCCACTCTGTGCAAAATGTCTTCGTGTCAATTATCTAAAACAGATAACTGAATTCTACTAATAACTTTTCTAAAATTTTCAACTTGGCTTATCAATTCCAGTAAAATGTAAAAACAAAAATATAAACGATACATTAGTTCCTAAAGTCATTTCACTAAGCTTCTTGTAAAACAAATAATACATGTCCCCCCACCATCATTCTCTCCTTAGATTTACTTTAATTTTTTATTTAATCACTGACGGTGCTGATGGTATCTGTTCTTAACGTGGTATCTATACTGATGACATAACCAAATTGTCCTGTCACGATATTAAGGCTAAGTTTGACAATGTCAAATCGGCAGCTGATCACTAAAATGACTTACAATCTGTTGTTAACTGGGGCAAGGAATATCCTGTTAGTTTTAACTCCTCCCAAACAGAAATGCTACCTATTAATCACCTGAAGGAGACAGAGGATGCCGATCTCCAAGATAGTCACCAGTCGCGCCTTCTGGAGCTAGAATTCTCGGTTGACATTAATTCAAAGTCTACATTGAATCCATTGCTAGGTCTGCTGCTAAGAATGTTGGTTAACTGTATCGTGCTAGACAATCTATTCTCTTCAGAGGTTCATCTTAAGTCCAGTATTCGTCCATTTTTTGAGTATTGCTGTCACATATAGTCCAGTGCTCCTGCTTTATATTTAGAGATTTGTGCTAAAATCCAAAGAAGAATTAGGCATATAATTTGCCCTGGCTTGGCATCTCGGCTTCAGTCACTTTTCCACTGTTTCTTTTCTATAAATATTTAATGTTAATTATTCGGATGAGTTATTCCTTATGGTACGTAGATTTGTGTTTGTTTTTGTTTTTTTTGTATACGGCATATCAAATACAATGGGTTATTTAATGTCGATCTTTATTGCTGGTATTTTTTTTCAAAAGCGTATTGCTGCTAATTTTTTTTTTTTTTGTATTGCTGGCAATATTTTTTTCTTCAAAAATTCATTGCTGATAATCATTTTTTTACGAAAATGCATTGATGGCATCAAAATCTATTTTTACACTTTCGTAGTGTTTTGACACCAGTTTGGGGGTTAAATATTTACCCATATCTGGGACACCCTTAAAGGTGCGACAACATCGGGTCAGGGTGGGCCTGGGAACACCAGCAATTATGAGGTAGTTCCATGCTCCTCAAAACCTCATGGTCAAAGGCGTTGATGTTGGATATAGTTTATCTTCATTTGAGGCGTGGTCTTATCCCTCTGCAGAGGTGCAGTCAGCTTATTCAGACGCCCCAGCCGAGAGGCCTGCCTAGACGTTATGTATTTAAGCACAATACTAGATGAAGAACAAGATTACACCAATTTACAGTTGAATGGATCGATTGAACCGTAAGTTCTATGCTAACATTTTCTTTTCTCGCACGTCTCCCTCCATGGTTTCGAGACAAATTTTATCTTCAGTGTTTTTATATGCAATGTCAATCGTTATCTACTTTCTTCCTGAGAACTCTTTTAATCTTCTCGCTCGTTAATAACGTTTTTTCATGTGATTATTATTTCACACTCAGTAAGGCGTTGTACATTAGTGAATCACCCCAAGCATGGCGGGAATGCCACTGGAATGGAAACGGTTACAGAGAATGAGATCAAGATTAAAGAAGAGTGTTTGGGGAAAGGATAAACTGAAGGACGGGGAACAAGATCAAAGCATGAGAAAATGTCGATTGACATTACATTTGAACATTTGGAGATTATAGCTGTCAGGGAAGCAAGTAAGAGGAAGGGAGTTCCACAGGTGGGAAGTGCGAGAAAAGAACCTGTTGCAATAGAATTGGCGGTTGCATTTAACTAGTTCTACAGTAAAAGTGTGGAGTCTAGATGCCAATTTAGTAGCACGCCTAAACTCACGTAGCCGGGCAATTGGAAAAAAAGATCGACCGAGCAGTTGTCTTGAAAATACCTGTAGAAAAGTCAGAGAAAATCCTCAGTACGTCTGTGAGGAAGGGACTGTAGACGAGATGCCAGATCAGGAGCAATGACTTTGCATATTTACTACTTTGTACTGGCTGAAAAGATTAAAAAATCGATATGATATATATATATATATATATATATATATATATATATATATATATATATATATATATATATGTGTGTGTGTGTGTGTGTATGTGTGTGTGTATGTGTGTGTGTGTGTATATATATGTATATATATATGTTTGTGCGTGTGTGTGTGTTGGGCATGTTTTCTGTTCATTCTTTTTCTTTATTTCTTTCATTGTGCAATGCACAATTAAATTGGAAGGTTATTCCCAGCTGCGCAAAAACGCAACAATGATAAGTATATACACACACACACACGAGTACAGCACAGAAATCAAAAACACATTATGAACTGAATAAAGAAATGGCGTTTAAAATAGGTTTAAAATTGTTAGCGTGCAAAATCCTTTGTTATAGGCAAGCCCTCAAAGGTAAAAAGATGTCCCTGAAGCTTTCCGACAACGCATGTTGCATTTCATTATATTTTCTGATCTGCTGCGTCAGCAGAAATTAGAAATGTACTCGAAGGGGGTAAGTAAACACAAATAATGAGTTATTCCATAAGCCTTCTTACCAGAAACATGGGAAAAGGTGCGATGGGTAAATTGTTTGCGTTGTTTGTTTCAGATTTTTCTCGCTTGCACAGTATAATAGGGGCAGTTAGAAATTGTCTATGAGAAGAAAAGCTCCATTTGGCCAGAAATTTGGAAACAGCATTCTTTACTTCTTGACATTCGCGATGGAATCTCTAATGCAAACATTTCAGTGTTTTGGGGTGTCAATTTGAAGACAATGCAGAGGATTCAAAAAATAGATGGATGAGTTTAATGGTAATTACGAAGGTACGGCAGATCGGAAAAGTCACTATGATCCTTCTGATAAGAAAAATCTCTCAAATTTGTTTGTGAGGGGTACAGACTCAATACAGAGGCCTAAATCAAGTGTCTTGAAAAGGTAGTGCTTCCCTATATTTATACATCCTACAAACACACACACTATTCTACATACAAAGACTTACACAAATATACATCCTAAAAACATACACACTTTTATATATCCTACACACACACACTTTTATGCATCCTACAAATACGCACACACATTTATACAATTTACAATTACACACATGTACATATAATATTCCGCTTTTTCCTTTAAAAAAGTTAAATTGCACTTCTTTCTTTAGTTCTTTCTTTTTGAGCTCTGTGTGTTTCTTCACAATCATTGTTTCTTTTTTTCTTTTTCTTACGTTCTTTCTTTCTCCTTTTCTGTCCTTCTTTTTTCGTTTCTCTATTTATTTTTATTTTTTCTCAGTCATTTTTGTTCTTTCAAAATTATTATTTCTTTCTTTCCTTCTTTCTTTCTTTCTTTCTTTCTTTCCTTCTTTCTTTCTTTCTTTCTTTCTTTCTTAGTCATCCGTCAACATCAAGTTTATCTTTATTTCTTTCCTTTCTTCCTTTTTTCTGCTTTTTTCTTCTTCTGTCTTCTTGTTTGTTTGATTGCTTCTTTCTTTCTATTTTCTTTCTTTCTCAGTCATTTGATTTCTTTGGCAATCATGTTTTTCATCTTTCTTTCAAACCTTCAAACTTTCTTTCTTAGTCATTTGTGTACTTTCACAATCATGTCTTTCTTTCTTTCTTTCTTTCTTTCTTTCTTCGAAACATTATTTCTTTGTCGTTTAACGTTGTCTATTATTTCAAAATTATTTAATTTCACGCACTTCTGTTACGTTCAAGCTTGACTGATTTTAAACATTTTTGAATATTTGAATAAAAACTATTTTCTCTTCTATTAAAATCTCGAATCATTTTATTTAGATTTAGAAACTTAAAAATAGACAGTTAAACGTATGCAGTTGCTGAGATTAACAAAGCCCAAAATAAGGCATTGTATTTATTAGGAACGAATGAAAAAGAATAAAAACAAAAGATTCATGGATAATTTCTCGCTTACGATCAAAATGATCAGTGATTGTCATATTTGGGAAGATTGTTGTAAATTGTGGCCCTTAGATGTTTCTTCTTTTACCAAGATCGCTGGACGTCGTACGACACTTAATTCACACAAGCTCGCCAGGGAGCTGGCTACATCCTTCATCTCTGATACACGAAAAGATAAAGTAAAATAAATGTCGCACCCAATATTGTTTTATTATCTCTCTAAAATGAAATAGAATGTTTTCGTTCAAGGAAGATTGTGTACATTTAGACATGAAACGATATTGCATATTTCTCGGTCCAATCATTCTTCGGGATCCATATATATATACATATTGGGCCGACAAGAAATTTGCAATAGTAATTTATCTAACTTCTATCTCACCAGCGATGGCACGCTGAGAGAGATTTGCAGCCTGAAAATTGTGCTATGTTCAAACTCTGTGAACTTTATTTTTTTCATATTTTTTACATAATGGAACGCAGGAGATACATGGAGACTTTTCACGGCGCTAATGCTTGAACAGAAATAACTAGACGTTGTTGCCTGTTTGCCAATTAAAGCTCCATTCAAATATGGTCTTAAACTAGTATTTAGAATAATTTCCCTGTATTCAAATTTGAACCAGCAGTACATATATATATATATATATATATATATATATATATATATATATATGCATTTTCATTTAAGCATGTTTGGTTGCATAATGTATACGTTTTATGTCTATTTATTTTATTTTTTACTCCTTTCAAGTCCACGAATTAATTCTTTCGTGGCTGCAGAAAATTGATTAAGAAAAATTACAAAACTTTTTTTTCAAATAATTTTTATTTTCTAGAGTGCTTTCTATCTCATCTGCTACCATCTTCAGGGGTTGCATATCTATGGATGTGTTCTGCGTTAATATAGTAAGTTCAAAACATTTTTTCAACTCAATGCAAGGGAGTTAATTAATTTGGAGTCTATCTATATTTCTGAGATGAGGTATTATGTACTGGGGTAAACTGTCCTAGTTCCACGTGCCATGTTCGAGGTATGTCAGCTATCTCCTGTTAATTTCCCTCTGAAAGTTCTCCACTGCCTTAACCGGGTATTGAACTCACAATCTTTGGGCCTCTGTCAATGGATCTAACCAACGCCTTTATCCACTGTGCCATGTGTCCTGGGTATGAATTTCTGGGTATTATAAGCCTAATGTCTCCAGCAACCATTTTTACCAGTAATTGTAATTTTGCTGTTATCATTGGATTTTTTTTTTTTTTACCACAGCTCATATTGCAACTTTGTTGTTATCATTTCTTTTCTCTGGCACTCTTTATTACTGGTTCCCATATTGTATTTATTTCTCTGCTTGGCCGGCTCAAGAGATTTTCGTGGCCTAGCATATGTCCTGATTCCTTAAGTTTATGAATTTTCCAATGGTGTCCCTTGTCTATGATCTCACCATGATCCCACAGAGGGCGGTGATCTCCCTTCTCTCTCCATATGTGGTCAGCCACCCCTGATTGTTCTACTCCCCCTCGTGTTACAGCTTTCTGGTGTTCTTGAAGCCTTACCGTGAGGGGGCAGCCTGTCTCCCCTTTATATTCCTTTCCGCCGCTGCACGGGGTAGCGTACACACAGTCTTTAGTCATGTTCTCCTCTATGGGGGGTTCCTTTTCGGGAGAGATATCTGCGAAGTGTCGTCAAGTTTTTGAAGGTTGTCCTGATGTTATACGGACCGCAGATCCTTTGTATTTTCTCTGATAACCCCTTCACATAAGGCAGGCAGACTGTTTTCTGAGTGTTGTTGTCCTCTTCCTCCTCTTGTACCCGCCTGTCCCAGTTAATTAATTTGATTTAAAAACAATTTTAAAAAATATTTTAATGTAGTATTTTTTATATAATACTTTACTTCTACAAACATTATCCCTCAGCTTTACCTTCAAAGAGCAATGCGTCTTTGCGATTAAACAATGATAGATGTATTTTATTTTCCACTAAATACGGAGTATATAATTTTGTGTGTAGACCTGGTTTGCTGTTTGTTTCTCCATTTTAATGGGTGCTAACAATTGTTGTTTTAGTTGGAAACCATTATAGAATACCCCATTACATCTATGGTGAATATTCTACAAAAGAAAAATTCGATAAGATGGTAAGGAAACCGTCGGCCATGTTTATACACATTTCCTAATTCATGAATATTTTTTATGAACGAAGTTATTTTGAACTACGTTCTTGTGTAATTTTCATTGAGTTTTCCTCAACTACAGTTTGCAGAAACTTAAAATTGTTCGTCGAGAACAAAGGGATACTTTGAAAGAATTCTTTCCGGGTAGACACTGGCAAAAAAACTCGTTGCCAATATTCGGGTACAGAAATTCTCAGTAACAAATCCAGAGTGAATATTTCTTGGTCATTGTTTTGTTGATGTGCTCTTTTTAAATTCGGGACGTCTACAGTCTCATGATGAAAATTCATGTAAAAAATGTAGAATTGAAATCAATATTTACCCGCTGTTATATTAAATGTTTTTTCAGCGATGAAAGAAAAACACATTGCATCTTTAACAATAAAGGTTATTTTGCTGGAGGTATTTAGAAAATGACAACAAAATTTTATCCTGTGTACAAAAATATTTCCGAAAATTATTATTGTTGTCAATGCATATTCAGAATATTAATACTGTGAACAGAATAGTATATATATATATATATATATATATATATATATATATATATATATATATATATATATATATATATATATATAAATATATATACATATGCAAAATATAGTAGTAAATATACATACATATATAAATATAGAAATATACATGTAAATTTTTTAAAATAAAAATTCCAAGAGGAAGAATCCAGGTAGAACTCAATGTCCAGGACAGAGTAAGGATATAATAAAAAGGTTTAAACATTCATTTTTCTCTTACTTAAACCCCTTCCACCCACCTCTCGTAAAATTCTCTCTGTTATGGTTTAATCTCCCTCCTCCTCATACTTACACTCTCCCTAAATTCTGTTTTTATTTCCGGAGTTGTTTTTTTCTGTTTTCTTTTTGAATTTGTAGGTCTGATGAATTGGATCGTATTTACGATTCCAATGGAATAAATTATGACCATGGAATATTAGTGTTTAAGCCTTTTTATTATATATATATATATATATATATATATATATATATATATATATATATATATATGAAATCAAGAACTGATCAATAATCTTTTTGATAATCTATACAACAATCAATGGATAATATGATAATATATCCTGATCAATGAATATTATCATTACACTGATCAATAAATATTCTTAGAATTATTATTGAATCAATAAATATTCTGAAAATAAATACAGTGATCAATTATTATTATACAAATCAATATAGAGATCAATGAATTTTCTCAGAATATATACGTGACCAATTAGTATCCTGAAATTAAATAACTTAATCAATGACTATCCTAAGAATCAATGATATGATAAAGAAATATTCTGAAAATCAATATAGTTATCAATAAATATTCTCGATCAATGAATATTCGGACAAATCGATATCTTGATCAATAAATATCCTGAAAACCAATACAGTGAACCTAAGAAACAATCAAAACAGCAATGGAGATAATAAAGCGTAGCAGATTAATGATAAAAGCTGTGCAAATCTTTTGCAACAATTCCATTGTGCCAGTGATCTGAAAGTCCCTGTTTAAGCTGTAGTTTTATGTTAGACGGAAGTTCCGAACTGGTCAGCCATAATTGACCGGATGTTGGAATGACAGGAAGTAGATAATCGTAGGACGTACGCATCATCTAATATAAGGAAAGGTAGCCGCGAACTAGTGACAAAGACGACGGCTCTACGCCATTATCACTGATCAAAAGAGTAGAAAGAATGCTTTGTAACGGTTCAGGCGTTGGTGTCGTCTTTTATTAGCAGTTATCAAATGCAACTATCATTTTGTTCGTCGTTCCCAAACCTAGAATAGAAATTGGAAAATCTATGGCAATTCGTCTTCGCTATAAGCGGTCTACAATTCAGTTAAGAATCGAAAATCGAAGCAACATTGGTGAAACTGTGTAATAGTTTTCTGCTTTCCTGGTAAGTGACATAATTCTTTTAAAATCATGTATGTATTATTTCTATGGCCAGGATTTGTGCAGTTGGATACAGTACAATATAATTCTTGCTTCTATAACTGAAGCTACTGAAGAATTCAATAAAATAGTTTGCCAGTAAGATTTCACGGGCATATAATATTCAGTCCAAACAACCAAAATGCGGTGGCGATAAATCTTGGACAAATGAGTAAAGCCTAGTTTAAAATATACGATTCATTTTATTTCCTCACATACCATCGAATCTAAATATGTTTTAAACTATTTTAAATAAATAATTATAATCCAGGTATAGAGCCCTTGGGGAAACCCAATTTATGTATACAAATCAGGAAGAGCGGCCTTTCAAATCAACATTTGTTTTCACAATTTGATAAGAAAGTTTGTATCAAATCAGCAATTCATCCAGAAATAGTATAGCCTCTTCACCTTGTTAAGACGACTGATGTGCTAAATCCTGTCAAACTCCTTCGAGATATCGGCTAGAAACAAAAATGTAACCTTAAACACAAATTGGAATGTCCACATTCCAACCAACTGAAGGCCGAAGCGTGCAACGGCTGAAACGTTGTGATAAATATGGTTACAAAAATGAGGGCAATAGTCCGAATAATGTAAATAGTGTACGTAATACCTCATCTCAGATATATAGACACAAAATAAAATTATCTTAAAGTATTTA